GCCAAAAATCATTGGGATATTAAGTAAAGATCATGTTCCTTGAAGATATTTTGTAAATCTCCTACTTTAAATATATTAAAACTTAATTTTTGATTAGTAATATGCATTGCTAAGAACTTCATTTGAACAACTTTAAAGATGATTTTCTCAATATTTAGATTTTTTTGCATCCTCAGATTCCAGATTTTCAAATATTGTCCTATCCTAACAAACCATACATCAATGGAAAGCTTATTTATTCAGCTTTCAGATGATGCATAAATCTCAATTTTGACAAATTGACCCTTATGACTGGTTTTGTGCTCCAGGGTCACAAATATGCATTCGGCAGATGATTTTATCCAAAGCAACTTGCATTGCATTCAAAGTCTAGTTTTGATCAGTTCATGCATTCCCTGAGAATTGAACCCATGACCTCGGCATTGCTTATTATAGTTAACTAAAACTACAGCTAAAACCATTAAAAAAAAAATCATTATTTAAAATAAAATAAATGTTAACTGAAATAAAATATAAAAATAAAATATCAATAAAATATCAGTTAACCTGGACATATTTTTTTCAGCTAGTTTCCAAGGCAGCGTTTCTCATTTTCATTTAGTTTAACTGGATGTACTAAAATAACCAAATAGGTCATTAAAAAAACTACATAGACATATTAAACAATTATGTAGATCTAGAGTTTGAGGTCAGTTCAGTATCGCTCAGATGTTGTTCTTTCATAAAATGTGTGTTTAATATAATTTAGGGTGCATTTTACATCAAAACGTGTAAAAACGATGTGCTTTCGTAATGAAACAACTATTGGTTTCACTTGATATTTTTCAGTGTAACTTTCTGCCAAACTTAATGATTACAAAGCATCTTTATAAAGAAACAATGTTTCACTGATGGTGAGTTTGTCAGCTATGTAATGGACAATTTCACTATTTTGACTCATAAGTTCAATGGCAGGCCTTGTCCGGATTAGGTTAACCTCTGATTTGAATATTTATTTGTATTAAAATCATGAAAATATTGAAGAAAACGACATCACATCATGACGGTCATATGGTTTTGTGATAAACCATTTTTTAGTTTTTGAAGTGTTTGGTTAATAACAGTTGACAGAATTTATGTGCACATGGGTAAAATGAAATATTTTCTTATTTGAAAGAAAATGAAATTTATACTCTATTTTTTAAAGGTATCTGGGTTGTAGAAATAAATTTAATACAGGTCATTTTGATTATTTTGTCTTATAGTTGAAATAAAATATAAAAATAAAATATCAATAAAATATCAGTTAACCTGGACATATTTTTTTCAGCTAGTTTCCAAGGCAGCGTTTCTCATTTTCATTTAGTTTAACTGGATGTACTAAAATAACCAAATAGGTCATTAAAAAAACTACATAGACATATTAAACAAAACAAAACCTAATAAAAATAGACACAACTAAATTACTAAAACTTTAACTAACATTTAGATAAATTAAAAAAGAGAAAATATCAAATTATAAATGATTAAAAATGGTATATTATAGTATCTCCATGACACTAAAGTATCACAGGTCGTTCTCTAATGTTGATTTACAAGAAGAGCTTTTTTCTAATACAAACAAACAAACAAAACATCAAAATTGTATTATATTTTGCAAGAAAACTAAGCCTGTTTGAACTCATTCATGTCATGTAGCTTTTCCCATCAAACTGACATATTGATCTGATCAATCCTCAGGTCTTTGGAGCGTTTTCCTCCGATCCGTTCAAAGTCAGCAGCTACTGCTACGGGACGGGAGAGACGTTCCTCTACAGCTTCAGTCCGGAGTTTCAGGTAGCTGCTAATGATCACCGGTTCTGGTTCTGAGTCTGGTTTCTGGTTCTGAGTCTGGTTCTGAGTCTGAGTCTGAGTCTGAGTCTGGTTCTGGTTCTGGTTCTGGTTCTGATTCTGAGTCTGAGTCTGAGTCTGGTTCTGGTTCTGGTTCTGGTTCTGAGTCTGGTTCTGGTTCTGGTTTTGAGTCTGGTTCTGGTTCTGGTTCTGACCTGTGTTTGGTTCCTCTGCAGGTCTTCCGCTGGAGTGGAGAAAACTCCTACTTTGTGAGAGGATTCCTGGACTCTCTGCAGATGGGAGGAGGAGGGTGAGTCCTTCATCATCTCACATTCAACATTAAACTAATAACAGAGCTTTATCACAGTCTGTGCATCTGAGCAGTGTTATTAACTCTCCACCTTATGGTCAGTGTAAGATTTTTTAATGTTTCTGAAAGAGTCTCTTCAGGCTCAGCAAGGTTGCATTTATTTGATCAAAAATACTGTAAAATTGTGAAATATTATTCTAATCTAAAATAGCTGTTTTCTATGTGAATATCTGTTAATATGTAATTTATTTCTGTGATGCGCAGCTGTATTTTCAGCCATTGTTAATGTCTGTACTGTCACTTTTGATCAATTTAATGCATCCTTGATAAATGAAAGCATTTTTAAAATCATAATTATCCCAAACGTTTAAAACAGTAGTGAAGCGCCATTGATACGGACTAAAGGGGAAGTAGTTTTACGCTACTGTTTGTAGCTTCTGCTTTCTGAATGTGGAAATGTGATAAATCTCTGTTGAGCAACGAATCATTCGGTCATCGTTTACTCTCACACAACATTGCATCATATCTGAGCTTCTGCTTTACAGAAAACAAAAATAGATGAGGATTTTAATACAGAGCTCAAAACAGATCAAAATGATGGAAGCCTGTTTCCAATATAAAGGTAATTGTGACTTTAGCTCACAATTCTGATCGTTTTTTCTCGCAATTCTGAGTTTATATCTCACAATTATATATACGTATATATATATATTTTTTTTTAGAATTGTGAAATAAACTCAGGATTGTGAGATACAAAAAAAGTCAGAATTGCAATTACTTTATTTTTTTATTCCGTGGCAGAAAAAAACTAAATTGTGAGATGTAAAATTGGAAAAAAGTCAAAATTCTGAATTCATATCTCGCAATTCTGACTTTATTTCTCAGAATTGCACATTTATATCTCACAGTTATACGTTTATGTCTTTTTTTTTTTCTTGTGAGAAACAAAGTCTGAATTATGAGCCAAAAAGTTCAATTACCTATTTTAAAACAGGCCTCCATATATACATATCTCATATTGCATGGAAGAAATGAATTAAAACCGGTCTGAACAATATGTGACCCTGGAGCACAAAACCAGTCATACAAATATACCCCAGCGACTTAACACTGCTTTTGTGCTCCAGGGTCACATATGAGGGTGAATTATTTGCATGTGAACCGCTTGATTCCCAGTGGATGAATGAACTGATTAAATAAAGTTTGAATGCAATGCCAAATGCATGAAAGAAAATGGACGAGCATCTTAATAACAGCCCTCCGTCTGTGTTCAGGGGTCCGTTTGGCTTGTGGCTGGATTCTGACCTGTATCGCGGCTCCAGTTACTCATGCAGCACCTTCTGCAACCGTCCTCTCAGCCTCCATCACGACTTCACCGTTCAGGATCTGGAGGTGTGGACCTTCGTCTGAGCTCAAACCTGTTCCTGCTGTTTCCCGTGAACACTGCTGATGAGAACAAGCTATCCGTTGGTTCCAGCCGTGACTCGTCTGTTAACTTGAACAGAACCTGTTCTCTTCCTCATGTGCGAGCGGCGTTAGAGCGTCTGCTAAATGAACGAACATGGATGCACGGTGAACATAAAGAAAACGAGCTGAGGCAGGTTTCGGGGTTAAGTTCCCATTTCCAGTAACTGTAAGCGCTCCAGAGGCCTGACGGGACTTGAACGCATAGCTCAAGCCCTGAGGACGATGCCTGTGTAGGCGACTTAACACACTAGATTTGAAACGAAGCCCTTGAGTACTACTGATATGCCTGAGGCACTTTGTGATGGACTCGAGCTTTAGTGTCTTTACTGTATTTTGAAAAGCACTTAGAGGATGAATGGTTTACTATGTCAGACTAACTGCTTTGTGTCCCGCTGCCATGAAAAGGATGCAAAAAAAGGAAAAATGGCTTGCTGTGTGACTGTGATTTCACTACTACTTATTGTTTTTTACTCTATTTAATATCTGTGATCACATGTTGAGTTGTTTTGGGGTTTTGTGTTTGTCATGCAGTGCTGGCGCTGACTTAACACACTAGATTTGAAACGAAGCCCTTGAGTACTACTGATATGCCTGAGGCACTTTGTGATGGACTCGAGCTTTAGTGTCTTTACTGTGTTTTGAAAAGCACTTAGAGGATGAATGGTTTACTATGTCAGACTAACTGCTTTGTGTCCCGCTGCCATGAAAAGGATGCAAAAAAAGGAAAAATGGTTTGTGTGTGACTGTGATTTCACTACTACTTATTGTTTTTTACTCTATTTAATATCTGTGATCACATGTTGAGTTGTTTTGGGGTTTTGTGTTTGTCATGCAGTGCTGGCGCTGCGTCTGTAAAGCACTGGGTTTACTGGGATTTCTAATAAAATGAATTGTTTTTCATTAAACTGTGTCTGTTTTTGGATTTTCTGCTTTAAACACTCGCAGCGTGAATCATGCGTTAACTAACCAGGCTGATCAACGGAAAAATAAACCCTGTGATTCCCAGTGAATGCATGAACTGATCAAATGTATAGTTTGAATGCAATGGATAAAAGCGTCCGCCGAATGCATTGACGCAAATTTTCAAAGAAAGAAAAAAGTTTCCGGTCCCCATTGACTTCCATAGTATATTTTTTTTTCATGCTATGGAAGTCATGCAACTGTTTGATTATGAACATTCTTCAAAATATCTTCTTTTATGTGCAACAGAAGAAAGAAACTTTCACAGATTTGGAACAAGCAAATGAAGACAAAATTATTTTTGGGTGAACTGTGCCTTTAATTGATTTTAATGAAAACAAAAATACATTTGTAGTTCTCAAATCGGGCAATATTTCTTACAGAGGTCGGCCAATATTAAATCGCTGATAATAACTGTTTCCCATCCAACAGGGAATGTTCTCAGAACGTTCTTCCAGTAACATTTACAGAATGTTCGTTCAACGTTATCTGCTCTTTAATAATGTTTTTAAGAAGGTAGCACAAAAACATTATTTAAACTCCGCGTCATTCAAATAACCTTTTTTCTGAAACATTTTAGCTGGACGTTCATCTAACGTTTTTTAAATGTTACTACTTGTTAAAAAGTAACGTTTGCAAAATGATAACATTGAATGCTCACATAACCAAGAAACATATTTTAAAACATGTTTTGAACCTTTGGAATATAATTTTCGTAACATAATGCAAACATCAGAAAACATTCTTAGAACATATTTTAGTTTATGTTAGCCGAGGCTGCGCTGTATGAAGTTTTCTGTTATATTTATATTCAGCTGTATGTGAAATCGGCATTACCTAGTCTTTAGCTGAGACATGATTCCCAGTAAACAGAGTTGAATTCTTTTATTCAGGATTTTAACATCTTTATTTGTGAAAAACACTATGATAGGATAACAAGTGCTGTGGATTATTGTGATGTTTTTATCAGACTCTCGTTCTGACGGCACCCATTCACTGCAGAGACACTGATGCAATGCTACATTTCTCCAAATCTGATGAATAACAAACTCATCCTAATCTTTCAGCTAATTTTCATTTATGGGTGAACTGTTCCTTTAAATGCGCTGTTTGTTTTGTGCGCAGCGCCACCTTGTGGTTCAAAATTAACCGACTAGTTAATATTAGCAGCACAAGACTAGAAATACCTATTGAACAGAATGAAACTATTACTGTTACTGAATTAAAAACAACAAGTACTACTACTATTATTATTATTACTTTGAACAAATCGTGTTTTTTATGGTTTGGGCAACTGCTGCAAATTATTGCTGTTTGTTTGCATGCAGTCTGATGTAATAAAGCCCGTCTTTATTATTTATATTTATTATATGTATTTATTATTTTATAAATGTATCGTGTTTGTATTATTTATTAAATTTGACTCCAAACGCACTGGGATTATTTATTTATTAGTGTGTCTCTGGCCAAACTAACTAGGCGTCTGTTGCGGATCTGTTTCCGCCGGAAGTCCAGCTCGCGGAGAGCGAGAGTCACTTCCTGTAGGGGGTTTGTGCTGTCGCTGTTTGGGTTTCTTCAGCGTTTGTGTGGTTAAATCTCCCAGACTCGTGTTTCTGCTTTCTATCATGCTTTATTCTCGACACTGACTGCTCTCCGGTGAGTGTGTGTCTGGTTGTCTCTCATATTTCTCTCATATTTCATCTCTAGCATCTCCAGAAAGCAGCGCAGGGATGTAAACACACGGCTCGAGCTCCTCGCTCGGGTTTGTTGTTATGCTCTTTATGCTCTCATACTTTGCTTATTGATGTTTTTCTGCGTTTTATTTGCATTTGTCGTAGCTTTATTCTCATCTGCTGTTTTATAATTGTTGTCATGTTGCTTCAAAGCTGCTTTCTGTTTCACTTTTGAGCAAAGACTGATCAATAATCATCTGTGTGATAACAGCTTTATTCAGAGTATCTTATAATATATTACACTATATCAGTTTTATTATTTATGTTTCATTGGTTTCACACTGCTATACGGTGTATACTGGAATTTATTTAATATTTTAAGCATTATGAAATTTAATATATTAGAAAATATAATAAATTGAAGTGTTTTTATTATAGACTACATTTTAAAGATCAGATATTTTGTAAAATTTGGCACAGCCAAACTAATATGTTCATAATAATAATAATAATAATTTATGTATATTTTTTATATCATTTTATAATTTGCGTATATATTTCTTATTATTAGCATTTATTATTGTTGTTGTTGTTAATGTTCTGTAGAAATAATTGTGACTGATTGTTTATTTGATTGATTTTTAAAATAATAGTACCAATATTTATTAATATGATCTATCAATAACAGTCACAGCTGTCTATATTGGTGCACTATAATAATAATAATCTTTATAATAATTATAAAATACATTTCTGTTGTGCATTACATTTTTAAAACTTTCTGTCACTAAATAAACAAAATAATAGTACAAATAATTATTAATTCTCGCAATAACAGCCAAAGCTATCTATACTCTCATATTGTTGAATTATGACATTGTTTTATATTATTAAATGTTGATATTAAAATATTAAATAGTGCTATATTGTTGAATTATTAAATTACTTTTATTATGCAAAGTTACTAAATATCACCAGTAAAATATTAAATATTTTTGATTTTTTTTTTTTATGTTATTAAATGTTACTAGTAAAATATTATACAATTGAAATCGAGTTAGAAAATTGTAAAAATCAAGTTAAAATAAGCAAAAGTTAACACATTTATAATAAAAGTCTGTGCAGCCAGTGATCACGAGGGTTAAAAATGGAGAACTTTCTATATTGATGGGCAATAATTATAATTATAATGCATTTCATAGCAACGTTCATGCATAAAATAGAGCTCACACGTCAGAAAAACATAAAAAGTGAATCAAATCAAGAACAATAATATATATATAATACAAATAAATGGCATAACATGACATTAAGTCGCTGGGGTATATTTGTAGCAGCAGCCAACAATACATTGTATGGGTCAAAATTATAGATTTCTCTTTTATGCCAAAAATCATTAGGATATTAAGTAAAAATCATGTTCCATGAAGATGTTTTGTACATTTCCTACCATAAATATATCAAAACTTAATTTTTGATTAGTAATATGCATTGCTAAGAACTTAATTTGGACAACTTTAAAGGCGATTTTCTCAATATTTTGATTTTTTTGCACCCTCAGATTCCAGATTTTCAAATAGTTGTATCTCGGCCAAATATTGTCCTATCCTAACAAACCATACATCAATGGAAAGATTATTTATTCAGCCTTCAGATGATGTATAAATCTCAATTTCACAAAATTGACACTTAAGACTGGTTTTGTGTGTTAAAATATGTATTTTAACTGGCTGCTTTTGATACACTGTTGATTTAGCACTATATCAAAGCCGGTTCTTCTCACAGAAAGTGGCTAATGTTTCAAATGTCATGATGTCATTTCGAATTGTTCCTTAGTTTGTAAAAATGCATGTGCTGTAAGGCATTTAGAATGGAAGTCTATGGGGCAAGACACTGAAGTTAAATGAAGCTGTTATGTTCATTTTATTCGCACAGAAATATGCATTACTTGAGGCTGTACAAATTGTACATATTTTTACAGCTACTTTACAAGTCAAATTAACTTACCACAATAATTCTTATGATTTGCCAGGTGCGTCACATCTCTTTACATGATTACAAGTTAAAATTGAGAAAAAAAGTGGCATAACTCTGCACATGTAGGCTTAGTAGTCTTATATTAACGTGTTAAGTCGTGCAACTGTACATTTGAAACAATGTGAATTTTACTGTTTACCTAGGTGTAATGCCTTGCCCCTTAGTCTTAAGTTGTATGAGAATTATTGTAAAATCTGTATATTACTGATTTTTAATTTTTAATTTTTTACATGTGGTAATCCACAGCGTTACAGACACAATGCAATTTTTTTCCAAGTAGAAATATCTAAACATTTTTGAAACAAGATTTCATACTTTTCATGAACTGTATCTTGAATATAATTGTATTTTGTCTTACTTCACTCACAGAATTTTCCCCTCGTCTTATACTAAAAATACATTCTTTGAAAATAATCTTAATATCTTTTGTAATGTTGTTTCAAAAATTTTAGATAATATACAGTATATATATATATATATATATATAATTATTATTCATATTACCATGGCTTTTATTACAATTATTATGGTTAAAATATGGTTAATATTGTTGTATCTATGGTATATTTGTGGTTTCTACTGTTTGAATTTAAATGTAATTTTTCTAAATGTATTTAAAAAAAAAAAATTTCCAGTAAATTTTTTTTTTTTTCCCAGAACATATAAATGCATGAATGGGGAGACACACACACACACATAAATTTGTGACCCTGCAGCACAAAAGCAGTGTTAAGTCGCTGGGGTATATTTGTAGCAATAGTCAACAATACATTGTATGGGTCAAAATTATACATTTTTCTATAATGAAGTAAAGATCATGTTCCATGAAGATATTTTGTAAATTTCCTACTGTAAATATATTAAAACTTCGTTTTTTGATTAGTAATATGCATTGCTAAGAACTTCATTTGAACAACTTTAAAGATGATTTTCTCAATATTTAGATTTTTTTGCACCCTCAGATTCCAGATTTTCAAATAGTTGTATCTCAGCCAAATATTGTCCGATCATAACAAACCATACATCAATGGAAAGCTTATTTATTCAGCTTTCAGATGATATATACATCTCAATTTCGAAAATTGACCCTTATGACTGGTTTTGTGGTCACATATTTGATTGAAAGTGTGTGTGTGTGTGTTGGGTCTGGTGTGTTCAGATGTGTTTGCTATGGAGTCTCCAGCGCTGGATGATGATATCTGTATCCTGAAGCATGAGACGGCGTACGTCTCGCCCGAGAGCCCCGTGTCCGCGTGCGCCGGAGACGAGTCGGTGGCGTCTCACTTCGCTCTGGTCACCGCCTACGAGGACATCAAGAAGAGACTCCGAGACACGGAGAAGGAGAACGGCCTGCTGCGCCGGAGAGTCAAGCAGCTGGAGGACAAGGTCTTACTCTCAAGCTTTGTGAGCAAGTCTAGCACAAACTCACATCACAGGGCTTCAAACCAGACAGATGTGAAGTGTAGACACTGCAGGCAGAAACACTGGTTTTTCATGCACCTGTTAAATGTAATGCGTTTTGGTTTTTCAGACTAGTGGAAAGAAAACATCACTGTTAAGTGTTTCTTTTATAGCACTTTATCTATTTGTGTCAATAGATTTCAATTACAATACATGTTTTAGTTGTTTCTCCTGCACTGAGCCATAAATCTCCACTTCAGCAGCACGTACACACACCAAACCTTACATTTGTATTCCTATAGTCTGTATCCTGACGGTTTTTACAGAGGGATTTGTTCATGTATAATTTGCTTGATTATATACAACATTTTATTCCCCCCAAACACTGTGAAAATAGTGTTTTCTGTCCGTTCGAAGCATTTTTGACAAAAATGAGATACCCAGAATTCCCTCTGCAAACACTTTTTACTCTAATATGTCAAAAAAAAAATTTGAAAACAAGAATTTAGATTTTTGTACTAGAAATATATGCAAATTAGCACATATTTAATTAAATAATGACTCATTTGCATATTTAAACCTAACATTTTAGAAAACTTGTAATATAAACAATGTTTGCAATTATCAATGTAATCAATCAGCTGGGTAAGTAAGGCCATAACTATTAGTTTTTTTTTTTAACCTTTTTTGCCTTATTAAATAATGAAAAATTATAGTATTATGAAATTAATGTACATCATTATATTAAATATTATTTTCAATATTATTATTATTACTGTTAAAACATTAAATATTATATTATTAACTATTGTTACATTATTAAAATAAAAAAAAGTGTTATTAAATAATTTTTATTATATTATTATAATTTATGTTACTAGTAAAATATTACATGTATTGTTCTATTATTAAACTATTATTATATTATTCAATTATTAAAGTAAATGATGTATTAAAATTATATTGTTAATGTTTCCATGAATATATCCATTGTTGCTGATATGGTGTTAAAACATAAATAAATAAATTTAATTATTAAATGTCACTAGTAAAATATTAAATATTGTGTTATTTAATTAAATTAGTATTATTTTGTCAAATTACTTTTATTATATTAAATGTCACTAGTAAAATATAAAATAGTATTATAATATTATTTGCTTATGATTTTTATTATGTTAGATTGTTAAATGTTTCTAGTAAAATATTAAATAATATATAGAATTTTTACATTGTTATATTAAATGTTACTAGTAAAATATTTAATATTACTTTATTGTTGAATTATTAAAGTACTTTTATTACGTTAAATTATTAAATTTCACTAGTAAAACATTAAACATTATATTGTTGAATTATTAAATTATTTTTATTATATTAAATTATTAAATCTTACAAGTAAAATATTAAATGTTGTAATTATATTGTTGAATTATTACATTGTTATATTATTAAATGTCACTAGTAAAACATTAAATATTATATTGTTGAATTAAATATTTTTTATTATATTAAATTATTAAAGCTTACTGGTGAAATATAAAAAATTGTTGAATTGTTACATTTTTATATTATTAAATGTTACTAGTAAACTATTAAATATTACTATATTGTTACATTTTTAAATAGCTTTTATTATGCAAAATTACTAAATATCACTTAAAATATTATATTGTTGAATTATCAAATTATTTTTATATTATTAAATGTTATTAGTAAAATATTATAAAAGTGGAAATTTATAAAACATACTTCGTAAAATACCATAAAAATAAAGTTAAAATAATTAAGGCATATTTTCTGTCATTGTTTTTATTTTTTATTTTTTTTAACACATTTACAATAAAAGTCTGTGCAGCCAGTGATCACAAGGGTTAAAAACAGAGAAATGTGAAGCTTGATTTTTTTTTTTGTTAAAGCATTTTCATGAATTATTCACTAAAGGCTGTTTATTCCTGCTGTGACGTGTGTGTGAATTGATCCAGCTCTCAGGCTGTCAGTGATTTTAAGTGTTTCTGCAGCATTTCCGTCCTGAAGCGCCTCCGTCTGAAGGACCGCAGTACATGAACAAAGCCTTCAGCGCGTACCGCGGCATCTACATCGAGAAGGAGGACTTACAGATGGAGCTCAATAAAGTGGTACTTAGACGGTTCATCTTCCTCGTGTGTGATAGTCAAACCCTCATGAGTGCAGATGATAAACTTATTTCTGCCTTCTCTTCCAGAAAAAGGAGAAGCTGGATTTAGAGAGGCTTCTGAAGGAGCAGCTGCAGGCCAAAGAACTGGAGCTGCTGCAGCTCAGATCAGAGATGGACACGAGCCAAGGTGACGTTCAGTGTTTCATCACGCTTTCAGGAGTCACTACCACACCATCACAAGTGCTTTTGAAGAACTGGGACAGAGCTGTGCTCATGCTGTGCAAACAGGAACAGCCCTGGATGATGTAGCTACAAATGCTTTCAGTATTATTCATTTATTAAATGTGTCCCTGTACCACAAAAGCAGTGTTAAGTCGCTGGGGTATATTTGTAGCAATAGCCAACAATACATTGTATGGGTCAAAATGATCGATTTTTCTTTTATGCCAAAAATCATTAGGATATTAAGTAAAGATCATGTTCCATGAAGATATTTTGTAAATGTCCTACTGTAAATATATCAAAACTTAAT